ATATATATATATATATATATATATATATATATATATATATATATATATATATATATATATATATATATATATATATATATATATATATATATATATATATATATATAATAGTCAGATAACAAAGATGTACATCATACTCAATGGTGCACTCTTAAGAGATATACTCTACGAAATAAATTTCTCTCAACAGTAGATAGAGAATCTATATTACACCTAAACTAATCTAATTTAGATTTAATTAGTTTTGATTAGCTCAAGTATGCTTAAATTGGTCAAGTTGGTTTGGAATCATTCCGAATCAGCTTTAACTATTCAAACCTATTTGATTCAGTCAACTAACAAACTCAAACTAATAAAGAAAAAAAAAAAGACTATATCACACAATGCTAGTCTAGACCTAATCGATCCACCAGAGTCTTGGACGAGTCACGTGCATCACATATATTTGTCCCAAGTAGTAGGTTGGGCTGAGATACAACGGGCTAGATAGAGGAGCAATGATGTGTCTAACACCAATCACATAGTTGGGCAAGCATAGCTTCATGATTTGGGCTAAGCTTTATCAATAAACTAGGCCACTACCTAACTCGTGAGTTAGGTTATACTTAATCACATAAATTGAATCATACCTAACCACATGAGTTATACCGTGTTTGACTATATGAAATAGGTCAGGTCATGCTTGACCACAAAGGTTGTTAACCACATGGGCTGAGTCATTCTTGACTATATGTACTGTGTCGTATCTAACCACAAGGTTGTTAATCACATGGGCTGAGTCATTCTTGACTATATGTACTATGTCATATCTAACCACAAGGTTATTAATCACATGGGCTGAGTCATTCTTGACTATATGTACTGTGTCGTATCTAACCATATAGTCTGGAGGGAGAGTCTCTTTGTATATGGAAAAATGAGTTCTTCCTGAAAAATAAGTAATAATTTATTTTTTATTTTATTTTTTTTTTTCTTTCATGCATAAAGATATAATTATAATATTTATTTCTTAGGATTCACACACAAAAATAAAATTTAAACTATATTTTTAAAAATTATATTACTCATTAAAAAATAAATAAATTAATAATTCAATTGATTGACAAATTTTTTTACTTATCCATATGATTAAAAAAATTAATTTTAATTATTTTCTTAATCCTACTATATAAACTAGAAAGTTAATAATTTAAATAAAATAATATCTTATTTATATTAATTTGACTTATGTTAAGAGAGAGAAAAAAATAATCGGTGATTCATTTGCCCATTCGGAGGAGTGAGGAAGGAAACTTTATCTCATCTGATTCGACATAAGAGAAATATGCAAAAGAAAAATAAGGCATCGAGTTTTTTTTATGACCCTTTTACTGGCACTCAAGTCAAAGTTGCTATACAAAAGAGACTTAGAACTTAATGAGCTCGATGGAACGAGGAAAGTAGAGGTAGCGGTAGAGAGAGAGAGAGAGAGAGAGAGAGAGAACTCCAAGTATCCCTATCCCCTTGTCATGTTCGCCGTGAGGTACGACTTTTGACTTCTTTACTTATCATATAGAGATTAGTCATCATAATATCAATAGAACAATGACACCCAAGTAGCAGAGGATATTCTCATACAAATCATAAGGAGTGTGTTCGTAGTTGATGGGAGACAACATCTTATAGCATCATCTGCAGATTATTTGTTTATTTGCATATAGATTTCTAGATCACAAAAACATTACATTGCAGCCTTTTTTGTCCGAACTCTATTAGCGGCAATACCAACGTCAATGACTACAAAACAACATGATCATAAATCCTCACATCTTTTCACAAGAATAATGACTCGATCTATTGAAACTAAAGTAAAAATGGACCTACAAACTTGCTGCCCTCTCTGAGAGAACAATCAAACCTGATGAAGGACAAAGTATTCCTTCAAGGAAAATGACCGAGGGGTCTGCAAGTTGACTTCGGTTAAGGAAGATATTGGCCTGCTTTACCATGGCTTTGACTGCATTTACTTACAACTATCAACATAGGATCAAGTGTTTTTGCTATTTCAAGAACTACCAACTGAGGACGAAGGACTGCGATCGCCGTCGGCTTCGAGCATTCCACCAATCGCCGTTTGCAGATCTTGCAGATCCAATGCCCGTGGAGGAGGTACGGAAGCATGAGGATGATGCCTCGACGGCAACTCCATACCTCTCCTCGTCCAGCCAGCCGTATTGCATGACTCAGAGGGCGACGAGATGATCCGTGGCCTTTTCGTGGAGCGCTCTTCATCTTCGTTACGGCTGATATAGCTTTCAGCCGGCAACGGGTGGTTGCTTGGTCTACGATTCCCAGAATCCTGCGAGATCATGAAGAAACACTACTGAGTTGACCTATTTTTGAACACAAACAAACAATAGACTGCCTTTTACGATCTCAATGACGCTCCTCCTCAGGAGGATCCATCCAAGAACGTATGTGCTTCCTACGTGCGTAGAAACATGTGTGTAAAGAATTGTCGGGTAATAATTACCTTTGGGATCAGACTCCATGTGTTATCCTTCCATTGCTGCCGCAGCCGGAGTTCGCAGGTGCGGACGTTGAGGCGCCTGGAAGATCCATCAAGTCGGACGTCGAAGCGGCCGACGGCCACGACTGAAACCACCACCGCAGGATACCAGGTACAATCCTCGAACGCCTCGACGACGTCTCCGGGAGCCCAGTCGCTGAACATGCCACCGATCGGCAACGGCGGGGGTCTGAGGAACTTCCTCGGCACTCTTTCCACAACCAGCGGCCTGTCCGTCGGGCGGCGATCGTACCGGAGGAAATACGTGTGGCCGTTGCCTGAGAGGACCCGGGCAGTGCTCCAGGAGTAGGAGCCTTCCTTACACTTGTAGACCTCCACCGAACTTCCCTTGGACAGCCTCATGGTCACCATGACGACGTCGGAACGAATGCCGAGTCTCTACAACCTCTCTCTCCCACAAGCCCGACGAACTCTAATGACAATGAACGTAACAAGGTAAAATCCAATGGGGTATAAAATGTCTCATGTCTCGCAATTAGAATCCTTTTGAAACTCGGATATCGGTCAATCTGGTAGTTGGCACAACGCGCGTTCGTCAGCGCAGCTTAGCAATGCAGTTAATCTGGAGATCGGTTAATCTGGTGGCTAAGCACAAACAAATGCAGCCCTATGATTGAAGTGGGTGGATCCATCGTTTGCTCGGAGTTTGATAAATAATAGATAAATATTATCCTTTAAATATGTATTGACGTAGGTATAGTTTAATAATATTATATTTTAAAGATTCATTAAATATTATTTTATAAACTTATCTTTCTACTCTTTTTAGTATTTATATAAAAGTAT